AAATAAGCACCATAAAAGTAATTGTAGTAAGTCTGTTTAGGACCCGCATTTTATTAACTTGAATTATACCGTTTCGTATTCACTATCAATTTTTCAAAACTATGAATTATTATTTGTAAATAAAATAACATATATAGTTAGCATTTAATAAAATTCAGTAAATCAAATGTGATTTTCTGAGTAATATGGGGGAAAAGCATAGACGGACCTAGAAGGGTGGTTAGGTGGCACGTGCCACCGTATTGTTCCTACGTGGTAAGGTAAAAAAAAATTAGGTTCGTGAAAGGTGCAACCGTTTTATTCTAGAAGGTGCAACCGTTTCATATGGTGCCACTGTATCAAAAAATTCTTGGGTCCGTCCCTGGGAAAAAGCTTATCGATATTTAAAAGGGTTGGTTTAGTCGGTAAGTATTTAACATTAAAGATTACAATGTTTATTAGATGACCGTACGTGTTTGAGTCAGGTTGTACACGTTTCGACTAATCCCACAAAACCTTGAAGTTAAAAACACTCAGACCGATGACTATCGGAAAAGAAACTCAAAACTCAAAATCTTACAAGTAGTAATGTTTATGGTCATTTATCAAACGCTTACCAAGTAAACCCTTACCGTCCAGAGTCGCCATGTTCACTTACTTTTATCATGTAATATTTTGTCATTTTCGTCTCTCAAAATAGATTGTGGGTAACCATCTTCTACCCAGTAACCGCTAACGGGGTAACAATCTTTTTTTTTCACTTATTGGATAAAATTATCGCTCCTTGCTTTTTACCGTACAATCGAGCACGATTCTCAATTTTTGTCATACTCTCCCACTAAAGTAAATGACACTCGATAAACACTTAATGATAAATATTTGGCAAAATAAAAAACCTAATGGAGAGTGTGTTTTTCTAGTTTGAACCATAAGCATAACTTGAGGGAGCAATTTTGGGAATGGACATTTTTATGGGGGATGGCTATCCTGGAGTCTAGAAAGCATTTTTAGGTATCACGAGGCAATTGAAACCCAAAGTCATCAATCATACCTTACTAAATCAAATATATTTCGAAACTTATTTATAAAATATAAACTAAATAATTAAAAATTTTATTTAATTTTAATAACTACTTTATTTTAACAACTCTAACATTAATTATATTATTAAAATATTATACATGTTTAATAAAATACTAGAAGGGTACTCGTGCAATTATGCGAGATACATCTTGATTTTAATGTTTCGTTTTATGTAGTTCTGGGAAAAAGAAAATGTTTTTAATTTTGAATGGATTATAAATTTGAGAATATTATAGAATTTTGGAAAAAATAAGATATATTAGTATCAAATTAACTATTTAAAAGTTTTCGTTTTTGTGTAATTTTTTTTAATACAATTTTTTTTATTATAGTTTAATTGAAGTTTAAAAACGAACTAATTTATTTTTGGTTTAATAAAATAATTTTTTTTAAATAATAATTAAGTATTTATTAAAACTCAATGATTATCTTAATTATATTTTAGATTTTTTATATTAAAAAAGAATGTTTATCATGTATTTGGTTATATTTATTTACAATTAGTTACATGAATTCAAATATAGGACTTTAATAAGATGTACTCATGCGCATTCTACTTGTAATTTTGAATTTTAAGTAATATTCATCAATAAACAATACTTTATGCATAAAAAAATTATTTTTAAGAGTTTTTATCAAATAATTTATAATATAGTATATATATCTTTTTCTTCCATTTAATTTCAATTTATTTTTGTTGTTGAAAACGAACGAAAATACTCTCTCGCTCTCTTATATATAAAGTTTTAGGTATTTATTTAAATTTAGAGATTTTCACACTTTTCTCAATTTTGCCATATACATGACATAATTGTTGGAACACAAAACTCTAATAAGAGCATCTACTCATATTCTCCAAAACGAAAAATTTGAGGATTTTTTTCTCCAACAAAATTTTCAAAATCTTCTTCAAAATAGAGAAAGTATGAGAGAAGATAAAAATCTCAAAATTCAAAGATTTCTCAAAAAATAATTACTTATGATAGATTAATGGTTTTTTATTCATTCTATAAATGAAATTACTTGAAATTAAATATTTATGAGTTGAATTGAATATTTTATAACTACTAGAAGGGTACTCGTACAATGCAGCGAGATAAATCTCAATCTTAATGTGTAGTTTTTATTCTTTGTTCTCATCGATATAATCCGATTTTATGTGGTTTTGAGAAAACGATAATGTTTTTATTTTTGAATGAAATATTAGTATCAAATTAACTATTAAATAGTTCTCGTTTTTTTTGGTGTAACTTTTTTAATTCAATTTTTTTATTATAGTTTAATTTAGATTTAATAACAAAGTAATTTATTTTTGGTTTAACAATATAATTTTTTATAAGAATAATAATTAAATATTCTGTTAGAACTCAATAAATATCTTAATTATATTTTTTAGGTTTTTTATGTTTAAAATGGATGTTTATCATATATTTGATTATGTTCATCTGCAGTTAGTTACACGGATAAATGGAGCTTTAATAAGTTGTACTTGCGCAAAATTACTTGTAATCTTGACTTTTAAGTAATATGCATCAATAAACAATACTTAATGCATAAAAAATAGTTTTTAAGAGTTTTTATCAAATGATCTATAATATAATATAGATATAATATTTAAAATAAAAAATCTATTAAAAATAAATGTAGTTTTTTTTTTTAGATATTAAATTTTAATTCTCCAAAATTTTCATTATAACATTATTAGCCTGTACAAGGATTGTCTTATCCTCCATTCCAAACACTCCTTTTTTTAGTTATCTCCTTTTATTTAAAAAAAAAAAGAAAAAGAAAAAGAAAAAAAGAAAAGTGAATGGTTGAAGTCAAACCTTTTCTAACCCTTCCGAGGAGTCAGCCCACCCTTCTCTTTATTGCAAAGAAAGCTTTGGGTTTTGGGTTCGTAAACGCGACGACTAGGCGTGCCCACTCCCACCCCGCTCCCTCTTTTTCAATACTTTTTCATTCAACCCCCTCAACTTTTGAATTCTTTTCAAATTAACCATCTTTTTCATTTTTATCTTTTTTCAAAGGTATTTTCTCCCTTAAACCAAAAAAAGAAAACACAAAACGCATACGTATCGTCCACCACTTCTAATTGAACCTTTATTGTTTTCCTACAAAAGAACTGCTTTTTTCATTCAGCACCCGCGATAAAGAAAATGTCTACGTACGTCACACATTCCACATCCAACTGAGCATACCTTTATATCTGTTGTATCATACAATTATTCATAAAAGAAGTCTACTTAACGAATACACTTGTTTTTAAAAGTGGCATTAGCAAACCACAAAGGATGGTGCCTGATTGGTTTGAGCTTGACTCCAAAGGTCAAAAGTACCAAGGAAGAATAACAATCTCCTTTTGCCCACGAATGTTCAAATGCGGTGACTTTGGAATATCAGCAAAGCAGGCGGTCATACTGAGATTAGTCGGCTCGCATGCAAATTGGATATCCCGGTTAATAAAAAACAAAGTGACATTAGCATAGAAGTTTGCCTATAGTTTGGACCAAAACTACAAAAAATTAAATTAGAGGTATTGGCAAAAGAAAGAGAGAAAAAAGAAAGAAAAGCAAAAGTGACCTCAAAACCCCCCTTCACTTTGGCATACACTTTATTTCTGACCCTATCCTTTGAGTACCTCTCTTTTCTTTCCCTTTTTCCTTTGTCTCACAAGTCTTTTCTTTTTGGGTCTTTTAGTTTCACCAAACACCCATTCCTTTTCTCCTTTTCTTCTCTTTTTGCTAATTTCCCAACACCCCTCTAACTTTTCTTTTGTCTATTCTTGCCCCCCCATCTCCATATTCAATAATCAAAAGTGATTTTAAGCCTTAATTTCAATAACTTTTTACAACTAAAGTTACTAATGGATAGTGGGTTACTTTTTGTTTTTAGCTTTAAAAAGAATAACAACTCACATCTTGTTATCAAATTTATATTCGGGTTTTCTTTATTTCGATTCTAACGAATGTAAAATATTGTAGATTTTTAACGATCGTTAAAATAATTGTTTGGACTCTGTTACCATATAGCATGTTCAATTCTTACAGGATCGTTTTATATTTTTTTAGGAAGAAAATACTATTACAATAACATGTCTGTGTCACTTTATTAATAATATGTGGTACTTTAACATCATAGCATAGGATTCATGCTAGCTTTCCGTGAAAACTTTACATGTTCATAAAAATGAAACTTCAAACACGAATTAGTTCTTCCCTAATAAACCCACGAGTTTCACAAGAAATTATGGCTTAGCACAAAATTTTAGATACGCCAACCAATTTTGAAAACGTCAATAAAGTGTTAATTTCACAGAGTAGAAAACATGGTATACAGATGACATAGAGGGGAAAGGCATGGGATGATTCACTAAGCAACGTCTATGAGTGGCATCGTGGCAGCAACGTATGGACCAAAAACAATATAAGGTAGTCACTAAAGGGTTGTTTGGTTGGTTTTCCATTATATCATGGATATTTTCAATTTTCCGAAATCCCGGCTTTCAAAATTGCCTTACCTTCCATTTAGGTTTTTTTGTTAGTAGCTTAACGTGCTTATTTATTCTTACGTATTTAAAAAAATCTCTAAAATTTATATTGGAAAATAGAAAAATACTAATTATTATATAAATTTAAATCAATATTTTATTAAAAAAACTAATTACAAAAATTGAGATTTGGTTTTGGATTGGAAAATGCAATTTGATGTCACTAACAAACATCAAAGGAATCAAACAAAATCTGACCCGACCCGAATCATCATCTTTCTCTCTCTAAACTCACACTGTTGTGTTGACTGTGTGTGCCACTGCAAAAAGCTTATTCTCCTCCCTCTCTCTCTGCAACTTTTGCAGACCTAAAACGCCATTAAACGAAGGGAAAGCTTTCCTCCTTTATTTATTTATACCCCCTTCCCCCCTTTTCTATCCCCCCATTCACACTTCCTTCCTCAAACCTTCTCTCAAAAAATCATTTACTCTGGCTTTCCCTACCATGGACGTCTTCAGTCTTCTCAAATTCTGGCGTAATGCCGGTATCGGAGACCCCATAACCGCCGGTGACTTTGATATTTCAGCTGATGATGAAGGGTCATTCTTTGATTTGGTCTTCACAAATCCGAACAATCTCGAAGACAATGACTCTGTCGATTCTCCAACTGTCAGCGTCATTAGTGGCTTCCACAGTGACCACTACAATCAATTTTCAAAGATGGATGGCGCTGATTCAAAGTCAAATCACACTTATTCCTCTTCACATGCTGTTTTTTTCAACAATAAGAGTAAGATTTTGCCTCTAGATTCATCCAATTCGAAGACGCCTAGATCTCCGTTTCGTGTTTTGATGCTAGGGTTTCAGAATAGCAAAACGAAATCGGACAAGAAGGAGATGAAATGCGAAATCGAGGAGGTCACGATCAGTTCTTTGCTCAAAAGAGATAACAGTTTGAGGAACAAAATGAGGTCGGAGAAGTTTCTAGAACACGATCAGATGCCATCAAAACGTTTCTCGAAGGACGTTGTTCACAAGTATTTGAATCTGATCAAGCCTTTGTATATTAAGGTTTCCAAGAGATCAAACGAGAAGGTTAGGTTCTCCGATCACTCTCCGATGCCGTCATCGTCGTCTCCGGCGGCTTCATCAGTGTTTTCTCCGAGAAAGGAAGAGAAACAGGGAGGGAGAACAATGTTTAAAGAAGTTCGTAAGCATTTAGGAAAGAGTCGATCGTCGTCATCATCTTCCACCTCCGTTAAATCAATTCCGTCACCGGCAACCCGGAGAGATGACTCCGCTTTACAACAACAGGATGGAATCCAAAGTGCCATTTTACACTGCAAGAAATCGTACAATTCACCTTCTCAAGGTAAAATTCTTGTTTCAAATTCATAAAAAACTTATATATTTTAATCCACCGATTCCAGATTGATGTCAGAACAAATTTGCAGAAATCCGTCACGGATTCATATAGAAATTGCTAATATAAAAATCTATAATATTTAACTTGTTTCAGGGTGCAATGTTCTGTCAAGATCAGGAAGTGCGCCATCTCATGGACCTCGAATCTCCGTTGATGAAGAGAAAAGAAGCAGCATATGAAAATGGCGGGAATATATTCATGATTGTGTATGATAACATAGTATTAAACATAGTGTGAAAATTTAGAAAGGAAAAAAGTATGGGGTAGTAAAATGTCAAAAAATGATAGTAGGAGGGGGTTGGTGGGGTTTTGATGTAAAGTAAAGGGGTGATGATTACATCATCAGACTTATGACAGCGAGATTAAAAGAAATGATGAAGAAATCTTTTGCTTCTTTTGTGTGTTCCACTTCAGCCCCACTCTATATTGTAAATATTGTATTATATAATATAATATAATATTTTATTATATAATATAAATGTTAAAAAAATGCTTATTTTCCTCAACTGGTTCTTCCCAATTTGGTGTTTTATGGAATGAATATAAGAGTGAAATGTAAACAGTAATTTGTAAAAATGAAAAAGCAAAAGAAATGACAGTAAAACAGTAAAAGTAAAAAATGGCAGTGTTGATTCTGTTTGTCACCATTGCAGGAGAGTCAAACTTCATTGCAGGAGAGGAGCATGGTTTGGTGATTGTGGTTTTATTGGTCTTCCAAAACCTTTTTTTCTTTTAAAAGCAAGTTTTTTTAGGATTTTCAGACAATTTTTATAATAACCTCCTAATCTTTGCGTGTTTGTATAAAAACCTAGGTTCTTATTTAAAATTTAATGTAAACTCATATTTTGTTTGTTTATATATATATATATATATATATATTAGAAGTGTACTTGCATGATACAGCGAGATATATTTTGATCTTAATGTTTCGTTTTATTCTGTCTTTGTCGATATTATAATAGGGTTTTATATGGTTTTGATAAAATGATAACGTTTTATTTTTGAATAAAATATAAATTTGAAGATATCATAAAAATTTGAAAAAATTATATCCATATTAGTATCAAATTAACTATTTAAAAGTTGTTGTTTTTTGTGTAATTTTTTTAATTCAATTTTTTCATTATAAACTGGAACGGTACTCGCACAATGTTAAAATACGGTTTTATGTGGTTTTGAGAAAAAGAAAATATTTTTATTTTTAAATAAAATATAAATACGAAGATATCATAAAAAATAAAAAAAAAATATTGATATCAGTATTAAACTAACTATTTGAAAAGTCTCTTTTTTGTGTATTTATTTAACTCCTTTTTTGGTTTAATAATATAATTTTTTATAAAGATAATAATTAAATATTTTTTCTAACACAAATTGATATATTCTTTTCAATATAGATATTTTATTTGTAAAAAAAAAATAACAGTTCTTATTTTTCTAGTTAAAAAAAATATTTTTTAAACATTTTTTAAATGTTAGGAAATAAATTGTGATCTACAGGTTTTCTTAATATTCTCATATTTATGAATAATTTAGATTTCTTTAATTAATCTAATATATTTATTAAATAATGTGTAAAAATTAGATGTTTTGAAAGTACAATGTTCTAATAATAAATGTCGAATAAGCAATATGTTATATGTGAATAGTTTACGTGGATAATGAGGTGGCACTGAAACCTGATATAATAGGTAAATTTAAATCAAAAGTTTATCCAATTCTATAATAGGTAGATATTTTAAAATAAAATACCTAATAAAAAATAATTTAAAAATACATTGTTGTAATAATAAAAAACTTCAAATACATAAGTTATAATAAGGAAATTTATTAAAATAGGTACTATTTTCTTGTATTTTACCCTTGGTTCATTTTATGAGTTTACGGAATTCCAATTTCGCCTATGATGAACTTTGAATTCCTTGGATTTTTGTAAGGAATTCCAATTACATTTCATTTGTAAGGAATTCCAATTAGATTTCATTTGTAAGGAATTCCTTGGATTTATTATATTTTATCCCATCATAATGATTGTTACTACCACCCCCGTCACTACCATTATCACTGCCACCACTATTCATCATCCCTATTTCCACCGTCGTTGTCACTACTACCAACATCAACACTACCACCGCTATTGTTGCCGTGAAAACACCACCCACCGGCCACCGCAACCACCACCAATTAATAATTCTATCACTCTATGTTATTTATAAATTAAGCAATAAAATATGAAAAATATCATGTGTATTTTTGGTAATTTATCACTAATTATTATAATTCTAAAGTTATATTTAACGAAACAAACGAACAGATTCGAATTCGTCTCAAACAGATAAATGCATGGTCAAACGTGGTTATATTCCATTACAATTCATTCAAAATACAATTTTCCTTAACAGATTCCATATTGTAAACCAAACCCCACCTTTGGTTTTCTTTAATTCCGATTATGGTTCTAGTATTCTCCCAATCAATTTTTCTACTTGTTGTTTTAGATCATTTTACATTATCATCTGGTTTTCACAAACGTGATTATTTATCAACCAATTTCTCACTTTAAAACCAACTTATTAGCTAACTGCTAACTTATCAGTCATTTTTACCTTATCAGCTACTTTTTCAAAGATTAACGTTAATAAAAAATTAGGATTGGAATAGCAACAAATTTACCATGGTGGGATGCAAACTTACCTTTTGAATTTGAGTGATGAGCAATTGACCATACATGTATGGTGACAGTAAAAAGTATAGATACAAAGATATATATATATATATATATATATATATATATAAAGAGAGAGAGAGAGATGTGGATCCTTCAATGCAAGTAGTTGAAGACAAAAGCAAATAGCAATGGGTTCAGTCACTTTCAATTCCCCTCATGAAGCTGTTTGCTTGGAATAATAACAAGTAAAAGTCTGGAACCGGAATTAGAGAAGGGGTAAAAAATCAGGAATGGAAATGGGAAATGGGAAATGGGAAATGTGTGTCAGGAAAAACTGAATGGGAACTATCATTGCAATTGCTTTGCTCCTTTTCCAGAATTGGTGAATCTAACAAATACCAACAACAACAAAACAAAATGACGAGACACCCCCTCACCTTGAAACGACCCTTTCATCACTCCTGTTGATTCCATATCTGATAGTAACATCTACATGATTTATATATATATACATATACATATATATATATATATATAGAGAGAGAGAGAGAGAGTGTGTGTCTTAATCAGATTCATGGGTAGAACAGTAACCAAAGAAACCGAGACTGTTTAATTGCGAGAATGGGACGAGCAGTTCGGTAATCAAATCATAGTTAGAATGAGATTATCAAGCTTTTTATTCCGGTCAAAATGATTAAAAAGGCTTTCATGATATACTGCAAAATTAAATATAATTATTTGATAACTGTTTACAATTAAATTAGGACGCTGAATGATTAAAAGAAACCTATGATACAATTAAGAAGGTTTTAGAACCATTAAAAAACGGACTTATATTTGTCAAACAAGATTCATCTTTTAACAATCTTTTACACCTGAACTAAAACTACAGATGTCTAAAACAAGCAATAAACAAAATAAAATATAAAATTTCGTATCGTGAAAAAAATCTTGCAAGTTAAAACAACAAAAATGTTTAAAATAACAAAGTGAGAAAAATATCAGAGAAAATTCTTTTTGTTTTTTGATCAACAATTTTTGAAATTAATAGTTGTTTTTTTTTTCCTAAAAGAAATGAGCTAGTACTGAGGTGGGTTAACAGGTTGGGCTATATAAATCTAAGCCCCAATTGCATAATTTGGGTCCAAAATTTCAAAAGTCGTGTTCAAAAATCAAGTTTTAACATGCTAATAAACGGCCTTTATATATATATACAAACATGCACACATTGGTAATCATGTGTTTAACTTTTTTGGGTGTTTGGTTGGAGATATAAACGGCGTTGATTTGACTGGTCTTAAACCGGTTATGCTAAAAAAAGGGACCATTTAAGCTCGAAAATTTGATCAGACATGTGTAAGATTTTTGAAGGGTCAAGTGTTCTTCGGTTTCACAATGAACATTTGTGCATCTCTAATTAATTGGGTATAAAACAGTGACTTGTTATAAAATTTGAATGAGATTTTTGTGATAATTTTGGTGTTTTTAGAGGAGATGATATATAGATATGTATATTAATACCAAGTAATTCAATGCTAGCTAGTTGTCGTGACTTCTTCGACAAGTTACAACTCTGCCTTCCAAAAAACACGAATCAGCAAAAAGTGATCGAATGTCATATATAACGATTTCCACCTTAACTCCGAATCAGTTGCCTAGGTCAAAAATTGGGGAGCAAGGTCAAAAGTGACTTCTGAGATCGGGTAGTATGAATCTAAGCTATAGTATATAGGAGTTTCGGCATACAACAATAAACATCAGTCGAGAGGAATTAAAGTGGTTGCACCAAATAAATAATATAATATAAAAAAAATAAAAATAAATTATAAAAATTATGGTTTTTTAGTTAAGATCCCAGTTATTTTCCCATTTTCAACAACCATTTTGTGTAGGTGTGTTCAAAAATCCGATCAACCCTATCAATCCAACTCAATCAAACACGAAATAACTTAACCTGAAACAACCTGATGTCTTCGAGTTGTAAAACTTTTATACCGTAGGTATTGGGTTGAAACTGAGTTACTATTATTTGAACCCAACCCAACCCAGCCCAACTCGATGAGCCCGATATCCTTGTATTTTTTGGATTTAACATGATTGTTGAGTTTTCATTAATATATACATTAGACAATTACATTCTCACGTACTCTCTTCATATACACATATTTTAAATCTATTTTTCCATCTCTATATAACTTATCTGTATAAAAGTTCAGTAATTGTGAACATATATATGTAAATTGAGAAAATTAATTTAATGTGATATACATAAAATTTAAGAAGTATGAATAAGTTATATCAAATGGTTAATGATGAATAATAAATTATGAGTAAAGAAATAACATATTCAAGGTTAAAATAATATTTTAATGTACCAAAGTATCAACCGACCAAACCGTGCGATTTGGGTTGGGTTGGGTTGGGTTGGGTTGAGTTGCATTTTGGTTTGGATGAGTTGTGTTAAAAATTTTCAAACCACAAACATTAAGTTAAACTATTTAAATGTTTTTAATCCGATCAACCGAAGCTATTAAAACCCCTAGTTGTATGTGTTCCTTTATAAACTTTACACACATGATATTTATCTTTTAAATATCTATGGTTGGATACCATAACAATTCACCTTGTATTTACCAAACATCTGTCATTGGTTCAAGGAATCAAGCCCACAAGGTCAAAATAGAAACGAAGATCCTAGAAAACCAACTAATTAGTTTTTTATTTTTTTTTAAAAAAATTAAAAGTTATTTGTTTACCTTTTAATAATTTTATTAAAAGACGATATTTAAATTGTTAAGAGGTGAATCTTGTTTGGAAAAAAAAATTATATTTCATTTTGCATTATATCATAAAAATCTCTTAATTATTCTGTACCAAACCATTCAACAACTGACAAAACACCTTAATCACAAGAAATTAACAAATTATAGAATATACGTATATTTATTTAAAAAAAAACAATTCTAGCTCTCTCGATACAAAGAATATATACACAAAATGAAAGCATAAACAAGATCAAAAAAAATAAAAAAATAAAAAAAATAAAAATATACGAGTTGTATGGTTAGGTTACTAACGAGAAATATCAGCGACAAGAAATAATTCTGAGCTCCCTGCTCGCAATAACAAGGTCCATGCTACAATCCATATTAACATGCTTATATTTCCGGAACACCACCAATATTTTAAACTTTCCGGTCAATCTCGATCGGCTTCTCAACGGCAGAACCCCACTGTTCAGATCATTTCGTAACTCCGATGATGACGTGACGTTCGTCGACGACAACATCACCGGAACCGTAAACTTCCTAGTATCTCTCGAGTTCACTTTTTCATTCCAAACAAATCCCTCACCGATCTTCCGGTCCCGATAGTAGAAATCCACGGTGGTGCTCCGGTAGCGGAATCGACGGAAGTTTTTGTTTCTAATACCGAATTCTGTGTTCATGACGATGTCAAAGGAAGGGTTTGTTGTCGAATTGGCAACTTCGAAAGTTCCGAAAGTGGCGGACCGGACACGAAACTTAGGGGTACGAAACCTGCCGGTAGTTAAAGAGAAGAGAAGGATGATTACGGCGACAAAAGCGGCAATGATCACCACGGACAAAAGGCACCGTCGGCGTGTCTTGCGGCGGGCCTCGTTGGCAACCGCTGATAGGTCTTCATTGACATGGGCGTAAGGGTTATTGGGAACCATTTTTGATTGTTATTTTGATGAATGATATCATCAGAGGTTACGAATTCAAGTATATAATGGTGGAGACGACAAGACTAAATAATCTTAGCGTTTAACTTTGTTGACTTTTTTAGATTCTAGATGTTTTGACTTTTCTTCGGCTGCTACATTTTTTTAAACAGCAATTCCAAGACGTAATCGTCAGGTTTATAATTCTAGAATATAAGTATTAATATTATTTAAACTGCCCCAATATAATAAAAATATATATAAACATGTTTTATAAATTGGACAAATTTACAATAAATCACGGTTTTAAAACATATTAAATAGAGAAGGTATTCCGTCAGATAACCCGATCCATCAGTTTTGATGGGTATGAGGATTCCCTACTAAACCGGGATCGGGAACGGGGATGGAGGTAGGTTTTGCACTCCTTGTTTTGTCATGTCATGTACCTGTTATATATACTAATTAATAAATTAAATATATAATATTTATTTCAACTGAATTGGTAATTTATTATTTCTTGTTTTCTAACTAGGTTTAGAATCTAAAATTATTATTTTATTATTTTTGTATGTAATATCTTGGATGTGAAGTCAAAATACAATTACTCGATATGAGTTTAGATATTAGTTAATACATGTGACGATATAATTGAATTTATTCTGGTTTTAACATGGTAATTGTCATATGATGTTGTGATTTTCTTTTTTGAATTAAATTAATTTTTTTTTGATTTTAGGTTTATTAGAAATTATGAAATTTAAACATGTATGGTGTCTCATATATTCGATTGAAAATAATTTATATAAGCGGAAAAAAAAATCGTCGTTTATGTAAGCTAGAAAAAAAAATTCTCATTTTCCCGTTGGAGATGGAGATGTGATCATATTCCCTGGCGAGGATGGGGACAAGGATGGGATTGAGGTCCCCGCCCCATGCCTAGGGATCGTACATCCAGTTCTTTATATGACAAGTTTGTTTTCTTTCCTCAACCAATGTGGGATCTCACAATCGATCCTCCTCAAGGAGCCCAACGTCATTATTGGCACACTAGTCCGGTTCCCAGCTCTTACACCACTTGTGACGTCCCTGGCCAACTATATATGATATTGTTTGTTTTATCCATAATTTTACTGACGGTTTTATAATATGTCTAATAAATGATGTATCTAGTTCGTTACGGGTGCATTTGGTATCCAGACAAAACTGTTGTTAAACATTTGGTAAGATAAAATTGGATATGACGGAACACATAAAAATAACCAGTTTATTCATAATGAGTTATGCATGTGTTTTATATATCTTGATTAGTTTATATATTATTAAAATACAATAAAATAAATATTTTTTATAACAAAATATAACATCGTATAGTTTTCATCAAAACAATTAAAATGATACCAAAATAAAAGGTCTATCTAGTTTCCGATCTTTATCTTACACCTTTATTATATTATTTTTTAATTACTAATGTTTAATATATTACATAAATTAATCAAAATGTAGAAATCTTATAATATACTAGTAACGTGAAAGTTTAAAGAAAAGAAAATAAAATATAAATATAAATAATGAATAAAATATAAAGAGAAAAACGTATTTGATATTTTAGAAAATAATTAAGTTTTATTTTGAGATATATTGGTAAAATATAAGTTTGTTCCGAATTGTTCGATAAAGTAAGAATGAAACATTTCTTTTTCCACTCTGTTCCACACAAAAGTCCTGTCAAACATGGAATTATTCGTTCTATTATATCATGCCCAATATACCAAATGCGACCTACAAGTAAACAAAATAGAAGGATCTACATAAACCAAATCTATACTATATTACCAAACATTTGACAAAAACCCTTAAAAACAGTTTTTTTATGCATGAATTATTGTTTGTTGATGCATATTACTTAAAATTCAAGATTACAAGTAATTTAACGTAAGTACAACTTATTAAAGTTTCATTTTTAAATCCGTGTAACTTACTGTGGATAAAAATAATCAAATACAGGATAAACATCAATTTTAAATATAAAAAATCTAAAATATAATTAAGATAATCATTCAGTTTTAACAGAATGTTTAATTATCATCATTATAAAAAGATTATATTGTTAAACAAAAAATAAATTACTTTGTTATTAAATCTAAATTAAATTATAACAAAAAAATTTGAATTAAAGAAGTTACAAAAAAAAATGAGATATATTAAATAATTAATTTGATAATAATATCAATTTATTTTTTTCAAATTTATATTTCATTCAACGATAAAAACATTATCGTTTTATCAAAACCACGTAAAATCGTATTATATCGATAGAGACAAAAACATTTTTTGTATTTGAATATTCATTTGAATTTTTTTTATAGGGCTCTAGGGGATGCCTAATGATTGTTCAGGAGGAATGTACCTGTGACCACGTTTGAGAGGGAAACAGCTCGGATCACCAGCTAAGGCCCCTAAATGACCGCTCAGTGTAGCTACGCCACCCACGGAATTTAAAGAACCTAAAGGAGCATGAGTCAAATAAAAAGTAAATATTAAATTTGAGATTTATCTCGCTGCATTGCGCAAACACCCTTCTAGCAATATATAAAAAAATGTCAGATAAATTACAGATAGGTTTTCTTAAAAATTAACGAGAGATGTAAAATTAGTTGCAATGCAAATTATGGATAGACGGAGTTTGTGTATCAACATCCATGGTGCAATTCATCGGCGCTACTTTTCGCCTCCTAACGATCTTCAATATATGTATCTTTCCGGTAACCAGTGCACTTGCTGTCAACGGGATCGTCCTCGAACCACCATTATCCGAGACTATGCCCATCAAGTGCTTCGAACTCACCACCACCGTGATGTTAATCTTCTTAACCGATCGAGCCTTTGCCCACCCGTTTTCTAAACCGGCTTCTCCAATATGTGTTCCTCTATAGGCTAAAACGACGGTGCTGTTCTGGTACTTATAGTGACCGAAGTTTGAGTTCTTGATGGTTACTTGTGTGTGAAGTAACGTGGTGAAGGAAGGCGAAGATGTCGAGGATCCATTGCCGGTTCTAAAGTTTTCGAACTCGGTGGAATGAAGATAGAGCTTTATGCTTCGAACTCGAAGGAGTACATAAAGGAATACAAGTACTAAGAATATTTGAAATATAACTCCGCCGATGATATAAGATGCCCATTTCGCCCTCCTCCTCCTTTTGAAGTCATCGTGCGTTTGCGTTGCGGAATTCATCGGTCATACAAACATCATGTATCAAAATGTGTGTTGTTTTTTTTGGTTCCGGTTGCTAAATTTGGAAACTAAATGTGTGAAAGTTTAAGGGAATAATTGATGGACAAGGCATGAACCAAAGTGGTTAGTAAGCAATAATTGATTCTGGGAATGTGATCAGGGCAAGTCAAGTACAACATCTATAACACAGGTTCTTGTTATGGTTTGGTCTGTGAGAATTTTAATAAAAACTCTGTAGTGTTCATAAAGACGGTTGCACATTCTATAATAAAACGGTTGTATTTTTTACGAACCTAATTTTTTTTAACTTACCACGGAGGAACAATATGATGACACGTGCCACCTAACCACTCCTCTAGGTCCCTCTATGCTTGCAATTGTTCTATCACAAGTTCTATAATTTAGAATCGTTTTAATTTCATGTGGTACCGATCAAAATTAAATGAAAGTGAATAATTGTACGTGAAAGAGATGGGTGGTTGACAAAAGTGCAAGCCCTTCGATAATAATTATTATCCTATATAATTGAATTTTAACAACCAATAAGATGTTAATATTTTATTAGTACGTGAAACATTTAAGACAGGTGATTTTTCTATTCAGAAAATTGACTTAAATTATCATTTCTCATATTTAAATTGATCTCTTAACAAATTTTTTTTCTGGGTTTATTCAATTGTCATTACTTCTGCAATATCAAGGTTCGCAATATTAGCTAAAAGATAAAAAAAAAAAGATTCAAAGCTCAACACAAATCTGTAATCGCAACGGTCAGTTCTGCAATTATGACGGTGAACTAGTTGAATTTCATTTTTTTTTTGTATTTTAGCTAATATTACGTACCTGGATATTATAGAAATAGTGAGATTTGAATAAACTAGAAAAAATAATAATTTAGAAGACCAATTTAATTATGAAAAATGGTCATTTAATTCAATCATTTTCTTTCTTTCATTTTTGCTACTAAGAGTTGAAGATGTAACCTTTTAAAATGTCCTTTCCAGGGGAAAATTAATAAATTATTATTATTATTATTTTTATTTTAGAAAGAAAACAATGAAAATTGAACACGACAAATGTAGAATTTGCAAACCGATCTAGATTTGCAGGTCTATCCATGGCTGGGTTAATTTAGAGAACTCAACTCGGGAGGAGCCACCGTCCGCCACCGCAGCTTTTGCCCTTCCACTCATCTCTAAAATCCGTTCTCTCACCACTCTCCCTTCCTCACCCTCCATTAACTCCCTCACCTTCTCCTCCACTGCCTCCGCCGTCACAAACCCATCCGGCGACATTCTCACCGCCACCGCCACCTTTATTTCTTGAACCAGATACGCCCTATTCAACTTTTGCTCAGCATACAATGGCCACGCCACCATTGGCACCCCAGCAACCACCGCTTCAAGTGACGAGTTCCACCCACAATGACTCACAAACCCACCCACCGAGTCATGACCAAGAATCGCGGGCTGCGGTGCCCAGTTCTTCACCACCATCCCTTTATCAACAGTCCTGGCTAAGAACCCTTCAGGAAGAAAATCATCAAGATCGACCTCTTTAGAACCCGAGCTCGACCCCTTTTCGCCATCTGGTGGCGGATTCCGAACCACCCACAAAAATCTTTGCCCACTTTTCTCTAACCCAATAGCTATTTCCTTCAACTGTTCTTTCTTGAACACACCCATACTCCCAAAGCATAAGAACACTACACTTTTACTTGGTTGTGAATCCAACCATTTTAAGCATTCATTTTTGCTAGGATCCACTTGATCGCCACACGCGATCAAAGGTCCGAGTAGATATATAGGTGGAGTTGGACCTTCCGGGATGGATTTACCATCCTGGAGCGTCTCAACAGCTCTTTCTTCTAACCCCACGAAGCTGTTTACGATGATGCCGGAAGATTTCGCCATGTTACTGGCAGTTTTCATGAAGTTCTTATACGAGTTGCTTTCTCTTTCAAACAAAAGAGAAGGCATATCAGAAGAATGGATTGGAGGAACTCCAGGAATATTGAAGTAAATTTTCAGATCTTTAATGTTGCCGGAAGTTGTGTTATGGATGGTAGGGAGATGTAAGAAGACACAGAGGCCGGAAGCGCCACCGGTATAGAAGTAATAAGTTGGCAAATTGAGGGTTTTAGATACTTGAAAAGCAGCGTTTGTAAAGAAATCAAGAATTACACCTTTGATGGTTGATTTCTCGGAGATGGTTACGAGGATGTCGTGGACGATCGGGTTGTAAAGCTCCGGGATCCCGAAGGCAAGGTTTTGGAATTCAAAGGAGAAATCCGGTGGGTAAGTGATAGTGGGGAGGTGGTGGAAGGTGATGGAAGGGGTGGTGATGGAGACGGTTTTGATGTATTTGTTGGTGGAGCCGGTTTCAAAAGGTGCCGGAGTTATAAGGATGACAACAGAGAGTGTAGGATGGTGGGTGTGAATGAGTTTCGCAAGCTCCACCATGGGAACCAGATGCCCGATCCCCGGAGAAGGATACAAAACAACCGTTCTTGATTCCATTTCTGTATATTGAGTGCTTATTCGATGAATTAAATAGTTGGGAATGAAGATAAGGATGTCATGAAAAGCCTCTGAAAGTTGTATGTGGACAAGTAACATTGGAGGAGTTGAAGGTCCACTTTTGAAAGAAACTAATCCTAAACCACAAACCATACCAAACCAGTAGATCCCACCAGAGATGAGTGGGGGCCCTGGGGTTAAAGATGATAGTAAAAATATTTACCTCAAGGAGTAGAGCCGTTGTTTATGTATTTTACCTGAAAGAGTAGAGTAGAG